TTGGTTTTTTCAGGTTATGAAATAGTTGAAAAGATATTAAAAATGTATATTGATGATCTAGAAAAAATTAAAAATAAAATTATTAAAATAAATATTGTGACACCTTTAACACATGCACATTAACTGGCCACGTGACGGATTATTAATTTTTGAATTTGACTAAACATTTTTTTACTAAAATTCGAACATAATGCCCTTTTATTTATATATTTATTTCACTTTGAAAATCAAATGTATACAAATTATTTAATTAGCTTGCTAAGATTGATGGGTACATGTCCACACATGATACACGTGTTGCATTAACTATCTTATATATATTTATAATCCAGAAGTTGTTGGATGGAAATTAAAGTATTCGATGAATAAGTAAATTATAACATAATAAAATACTATTATAGGTGTTATAACTAATGTATAGCTTACTTCTATATTTTATAGTTAATATTTTAATTTTTTTTTCTCCAGTCCCTCAAAATTAGGAAAAAACACTCAGCTTCACCAAAAACACAACATTCTTATAAATATTTTAAACAAAATGCCAAAAATTAAAACATCAATTCTTAAAAATTAGTTTTTTTAATAAAATAAAAATATTATATAACCAATATTGCACATCTTTTCTACTTGCATCATCCAGAAGGCAGATAAACCACAAAACAGACATAATGATTTTTTTTTGTGGGCTCCTTTTAAGGTAAATAAATAATATCTATTTACAAATTTTAAAAAGTATTTTAATATTAATATTACATATTATATGTGTGTGTGTGTGTGTGGATTTACGATAAAATTTGTTTATCCTTTATTCTCTATCATAAAAAAATTATGAAAATATACTCCAATGGTTTTGTTTATTGAGAATATTATTTTTTTCTAAAGAAAATGTTAAAATTAAGTTATTTATTTTCATTTTAGTTTCATAAGCTATAAATTTTAATTCGTGTAGTTTGGCAAAAAGGCCTTATAAGCCCATTTACAAATCTGATCCATCTCAGCTCATAGGCGGAAAGGCTACTGAATCAGTGCAAGACAAGCCCATTTCCTATGTCCATTCATTCTTCCACACCCAACAATTCATGGCATCTTGAGAAAAATAAAACTCTTAAATTATATTTCACCAAAAATAAGTAAAATGTATGATTATACGTTTCAATCATATGTCAGAATCAGGATCCCATGAAATTTATTTATTAATTTTTATTTATTTTTAAGGTATGGAAATCAATCACTCTTGAGTCTTGTCACTCTGATTTTACTGATATAGTCATCAAAATAATGATATTTGACGTCGTTAGAAAGTCATTGTACTTTTTTTTTCTTTATTTTACTTTCTTGTTTATTTATCATATATAACTTTAAAGTAATCAATTAGTAAGCTAATTTCTAAATATAACCTATAATTCAGCTGTAATTTTATAATTAATCTTTGGTTTCAATTATCTCTCACAAATAGAATTATTCTGTTAAATCTTTGTTCGATGAAGGAATGAAAAAAGAAAAGAAAAGAAAAATAAAAGAAATAAAGTGAGAATTTAAATTAGAAGAAAAAAGAGTGTAATTTTAAAATAATTTTGATTGATTTTAAATAGTATCATATGATTTATAACTAATGTGTTATTTCTTTAAATAATTAAAAAATAGTAATTTTGTCTTGCCCAAACCATATTAGTTGTAGGAAATTAGGTTATTTACGAGAGAAAGCTACTCAGAGAAAAATCTAATTATTCATGATGACAATGGAAATAATAATAATGATTTATACATTAAATTATACTAATCATTTACTAATAACTTTTTCAATAGATCATGTATTAATTTCTATCTGACATGTCTAATTAATGTAAGTGTTCCAAAATATACGAAGAAGTACTTATTTATTGAGACATGCGTCATGAATCATGTATCTTGTTGGGAAATGATTCAATTGTAATTTACTATGTAGATTCAAAAAATAAAATTAAAGAATTTTTTATTTACTTGTGTTTGTATTATTATATTCTTTCAAAAACGTAATTTTTCTTATTACTGTTCTTTTATATTTTCTGTATGAAACTTTCTGATCACATTCAATACATGTGAAAACCACAAACACATACTATAAAAAATTAGTGATATTGTTATTTATTATTATTTTCATTGTATGTAGCTATCACGTTAGCTGGAAGAAGTTGATAAAGTTTTCCATGGTCTTCACCAAAACAACAAACTTCATAGCCGCCTGCAAGGAACTAATTACCATTCTCATATTCTTTTTCATTACTATAACAATGTGGCAGTTGCTTGATACAACAAAAATATACAGTAAATATTATCAAAAGTAATCAGTCAATTAATTATCTAGAACTTTTAAAATAATATAGATCGATTGGTTATTAATCTCATTGGTGATCAAAAATAGGTGATCAACGATCAACTTTCATATTAAAATACCACAAATCTAACATGATTATCAAGATAAAGTATACTTACGAGATATTAGACTGTGATTGAATTATTCCTAACTAAAAGTCTACTCCAAAATTTATAATTACAAGTAAGAAAATATGGTTGAAATTTTAAAAAGACCAATACTAAAAACTATTAAGAAACAATAAAATAAACAACATGAAAGAGTAATTCCGAATTCTATCGTAAGAAAACAACCTACGTACAAAATCAAAATAAACAAAGAAAATACGTAATTATATCAAAGTCTTAAATTTAGTACCTAATTCCACTGACACGTGTGTGAAGCACGTGAAAGGCTTTGAATTTATACGGTGCTGGAATGGCACACACAGATGAGTGACAGTAACATGGTAGTCAGAGGGTACGCAATTCGAAGCATATTAGGTTTCGCAATCCCAAAACAGGATGATGTCGTTTTGTAAGTGACCTAAACTTGGTAACATGGGTAAACCTAAGATCGGAATCGTGTCATGCACTTTAACTTTCCATTCTTACCGAGAATACAAGGTCTAAGGATGAATTTGATTGGTTTTCCGATCACTCTGTCACGTGCCTCTGCACCCCAACTTTTGCCTCCCACGTGATGCTAACAACGTACTGTGAAATCCTAAGAATATGTTTCTTATTACACAAAGTTGCCGGTTTTTTTCTCTGAAAAATACAAATTTACGTTTTGGGTGATATGTGAGATTTGGATACATAATAAATACTCATAAGATATTTGCCTCCCTTTTATATTAAAAGAAAACAATAATAGAATCATTAATGGAGAAATTAAAATTAACCAAGTAATTATTATATTAAGATTGTATGAAAATAAAAATATTCACGATTTACTTTTTTTTAAAGAAACACGTTTGAGTATCATAAATTAAGAAAAAAAAATTCACGGTAATAAATTTAAGAAGCATAAAATCAGTACCATAAAAAAATTTACCTGCTCCAGTAAATAAGTTAAAAGTAAAAACAGTTGGTAATTAAAATCTAAATTTAACTTTTGAAATTAAAATTGTATAATAAGAAGAAGAAGAATTACGTGATACTAGCTTGAAAATTTATATTTTGTTGTAAAATAGTTAAAACATTCGTAAACAGTAAACTATAAAAATATATTCACTACAAAACATTGTAGAAGAAAAATATAAACAAATTACTAGTCACAATAAAAGAAATTATGAAAGTATAAGTTATATTAACTAAATTATATTTTCAGTCGTTGAAAAGAAGGGAATTCATTAAAGAATTAACTTTATTAACAAAAATTGTGATTTTTTGTACAAACTTAATATTTATATTAATTTTTTCGTATTATATGTATCTAAAAATATTTCATTCGTCGCGAGTATAGTCACCATGAATTTGTGAAAGGAAAATATATACATAAAAACCTTGTAATATTTAAAAGTGATTTTATAAGCCACTTTAAAGAATTTACAAACATAAACTAAAAATAATATCTCGTGAGATAATTATAGGATATTTTTATGAATTTTGACGTATATTTATTTCAAACACTTAAATCATATACTCTTTCAAAGAAGACTTCTGTTAATCGTTGTCAAACTTTTGACCCTTTTATTAATAAAAAAACAGACTAATGTCATTTTTATAAACTTTTTCAGTATGTTAAGAAAAAGCATTAAAAAATACATAATATTTATACTTTCTTAAAATCTTAAAAAGAAAATAGAATTGAAAATATTTTGCAGCTAGTTAAACAAGTAATAAATGCCATGAAAGTATTGACACAAATACAAAATGCTAAGCTATTATATATTAAAACAAATAATAAACGCTGCAAATAACATTAAAAATTTATTTAATTTCCTTTATGCTTTCCTAAGTTACAACAAAAAAACCTTTGACTGATAAAAAGAAAAACATTTGATATTCGTGGTTGAAATTTTCTAAATCTAGCTTAGTTTAAGTGCTTTTGGCTGCTTTGACTGGTAACAAATCATTAATATTTCACTGTTGAATAACTCTGTTTCTTAAAAAAAGGTACCAAATTTAATTTAAAAAGATCATTTAATGTAGATTGTGAAAAAGAAACTGAAAGTTTAACTAAAGAACATCATTTAATAAATACCATATCTAAATTTTGAACATTCTTAAAAGCAATATACAATTAAAGTACTTGTGAAATATGTATTAGAAAGCGTATAAAGTAAAACATAAAAACGCCAACTTCCAACAAATTTTAGATTTACCCTAGAAAAATTATAAATTTTGATGAAAACATGTACGTGGACCTGAAGAAAACATTGAAATTTCTCAAAAAGAGTTTCTCAATAAACGAGACTTATACTTACATAAGGAAAAATAAGAAAATGAAGAAATTATTATAAGAAATAATAACAATAAATAATGTATCAGAAGGCAAAAATCTTTGATCACACCTAAATTTTCAATGCATAATAACACTCCCCAACAGAACAAACAATGCAAGACATAGGTTTAGAGCAAAAAGGCTTTCCACACATAAAAATAGCTAAAAATTTTATCCAAAAATGTAGGCAAACCAGAAAAGTGAAACAAAAAAGAAATCATGAACCAAACAAAGCATTGAATAAATGGTGGTATGAAATCATAATGAAATTTACACAATGAAAACAACCAAGTTAATATAATATAATAACTATATCAGCAGTCAAGAGTGTATCCCAGGCCATATATAATATAAATCCTTATGGACATCAAGCAGAAAATCCCCTGAAAAGGAGGTCTTTGAGTTCACAAAGGACACCTAAAAAAACCTATATAGACCTATACTGCATTAGCTACAAGAGAATAAACGACACGTGTCCTTAAGCATGTTACTTCTTCCTGTGACTCCATCATCAACACCACGACCACCGTTCCTGAAAGCAATACACAATCAAGAACAATAATAATAATAGTAATAGTAATAGTAATCTATGCAGGGATGGTTTTCAGTAAGAGGGGAGCAGAAACTGAACGAAAAAAACTACCTTGTAGCTTTATTTACATAAAGGGAGATACAATGTTGCTCAGAAAACGCCTGCCATTGATGGCAGGTCGTCGAAGCTCCAAAGGTTCAAAGGGTTTCCAGCATCCTGAGTTGCATCACTGCCTAGCAGAGAAGCCAATGAAGCATCACCCCAGCTTCCATCAAACAAAGGGGCCTCGAAGAACTTCAGCTGGGATTCTATGTCTGCAAGCTCCTCAGAAAGTGTCTTTGCAGAATCATCTTGCACAGGCATCATGTCTTCACTGTCTTTCTTCTGAATCTGAGATTCACCCTCCAGAGGAGCAGAAAGAATGGAGGAGATTTCAGGGGTCCTTGGAACTTGTTCACCCCATCCAAGATCAGAGTAATCAAATGAATTGCTCGAATGCTCAGAACTGAAATAAGCAGTAACATCAGCAGATTGAGTAACTGGTGAGAGCTGAACACAGTTTCCAGTGAATGGACCAGGGTTCACATACTGGTTAACCAATGGCTTCTGTTCCACCTGATCCACAGGGCTGTAGTAGTCCTCCAGATTGTCACCAAAGTTGAACAAGTGGTTCATTTTTGGCTGCACAGAGCTCAGGCTTTCCTCTGGAATCACCTTGAGGCGTTTTGAAGAAACAGCTGAAGGCTCATCAGGGAAATTCACCTTGGCTTTCTTGCCACGGATCCTCCTTGCCTCAGCATCATAAGCTCTTGCAGCTTCTTCAGCAGTGCTGAAAGTTCCAAGCCAAACACGAACCCCCTTTCTTGGGTCACGGATCTCAGCAGCCCACTTTCCCCATGGACGCTGACGAATTCCTCTATATTGGTTCTTCCTCTTTCTCTTGGCACACTTCTCAATTTGCCCTTTTGATTCCCCAGATTTTACAGTTGTTGATCCTTCAATAAAAATAAGAAATAACATAAATAATCGCGTAGAAACAATATATATGGAGTATCATTAAAATAATTTATCACATACCAAAAACACAGATAAACAAAACAATTCAGATCTATCAGACAACACCACAAGGTAAAAGGAAAATCAGTATTATGAAGAAACATTCACAGCTTGTAATAACAATGTAACAATCGTTTCAATTTCATGGATTAACCAGCGAGAAATCTAAATCAAGCAAACATTGTTTAGCCCACAAACAGTAAACCACCTAGCAGACCAATAACCAAAGCAATACTAAACGAAATGCCAAAATTGGATCAACTAATGAACAATTAATGAACAGGGTCAACCCTGTCTTGTTGATTGTGCCCACAAAGAAGCATAGTTGAATTTAAAGCATAATTTTCAAACACAAAAATCAATCCCAAAGGCACATGCAACTGAATTCCTGAACTGATCCAGTCAATGATCGTGAGCTATGCTTCTAACACCCAGCCAAAACCAATGGAAAGAACACTGTTCCTATATTTTTTATATCCAGAAGAAAAAAGTCCTAAAAGACAAATAAATACCCAACTCATAAAAGTTTTGAAATAAGGTGGAGTACAAAATTCAACTTCACCACAAATCATCAGGAGTACTAAAGAAATTGCAACTTTGCTTGAGATGATTAAACAAGCAACCGAAACCAACTTTAATTGGATCTACAAAATCATGCCCCGATACATACGGCTCTGTAGTCAATTAATGTAATCCCCAAATTTCATCCACAGTGCATAGACATAACAAGCCCCAAAATGATCACAAAAGATGTTCCATTTATTTTTACAAATAAATTTCATATAGCAAATAAATCTCTTCAACGCTCACAAGATCCACAACGATTTCAATAAAATCCCCTCTGCCGTGCCAACTCCAAAAACAGAACTTCCAGAAGAATAAAAACAAAACAAAAATTAACATCCCAGAAAACCTTACATCAAAAGCATTTCTCTGTAAGAAAAAAGTCAATATCTTCGACAGTTTTTTGTTTAAAAAACGGCACAAGCATGAAAAAGTAATAACTTTTCCATCACTCAACAACAATAAGAAACCAAAGCGTCGAAGCAAGGAATGCATGTAAAACCGAAACCACAACTCCAGATTAAAAAACCAAAACAAAACAACAGAAAAACACAACTAAAACTCAAAGGATGATCATCAGAAAGTAAAGTTACCACGAGAGAGAGACTTAGAGGTCTTGTTGGGGCGAGAAAAGCCAACGGACTTCTTCACACCAACCACCATCAAACTGTCCTCTTCATCCTCATCATCATCATCCTCGATTTCAGAGTCATCCTTGAATTCCCTGAACCCCGCCTCGAAATCATCGTCCAGCAGCGGCTTCGAGAACCGCTTCCTCAAATTCGGCCACAGGATTTCGGGGGTCACGCGTCGGGACCGGCCGGCGGGCCCCGCCGGAATGAAGTCGGAGATAATCGCACCTCCACACATCTCAGATCCTTGCTCTTTCGGTGAAAGTTAGAGACTTTCTTGTACCCAATGAAAAATTATCCGAGAAAAGCCAAAGCTTTAGCTCAATCAATGGAAAGTAACAATGGTTGTTGTGTCTTTCTTCAGGGTTTTGTATAATTGAGTTTGGTGGGAGGTGGGAGCTGTATAGTAGTATATATACACAAAAAATGATTTTTTTTTTTCTGAGATGAGGGCAGTCTTACCGTTTTACCCCTGACAGTGGCAACCGGTGAGGTTTCTTGTTTGGAAAGGTAAACGGTAAGGTTGATGTTTTTACTGGCAGTGCTGTCAGCATTGATCATGCGAGTAGATCACACACGTGCCAAACACAAGTTACTTTTGCAGTTTATTACATTAGACAACGATGAAAATAAGAAAATTGTAAAGTATAAAACATAAATACATTACGCATGATTATATGTTGTTGGATACTTTTCTTTGTTGTGAATAATTAGCAGTTACGTGTGTACAATGCATGGCTTGGCATAAGAAAATGTTTGGTGAGTGACGTAGAGATTTCTCGTGATATAGAAGAGATATTATTTTGTGTGGATTTTAGGTTTAAGGCAACTTATGCTGTCACAAATTTCACTCATTGAAAATACAAAATAGCTAATCATATTAAAATTAATAAAAAAGAAATTGAAGTTGAAAGTGAAGATGAATAATAGTACTTGTAAATGTTTATGACCACGTAGACCTTCGTGATGACAAAATGAAATAATATTTGAACATAGTTATTTATGATATTTAAATTTCAACGACCAGATAGTTTTTAATTAGTGTTTTTATTACAAGGCTGTAAACCATAAAATGTACATTTTTATGAAAGTAAATTGATTAGAAATAGTATTATTCTTTAATTCTCCGTTGACAATCTTGTGAATTTTTTAGATACTTTCAGTTGGTCATTGATAATTATACATATCTTTGTAATAATAACATGGTTTAAAATTGTAGATTGTGCTTTAAGTTAAAACAAAACAAAAAAACGTATATACATCATTAAAAGGATACAAAAATAAACAAGAAGAGACTTCATCAACTACAACTGAAACTTTCCTTAAAAAGTTGTTCATTAATGTCTCAAATAGAACAATATCCGAATATGCATGTAAAAATATTTAAAAATAGAAACTTGTAATACTTTTCCTTCTCAAGTCATTGGGTCTCAGTTTTATTGTCCTTTGTTTTTAATCTTTTTAAATTTTTTTCTGACAATAATGATTGATGAGTTGTGTATTGAAATGAAATTGATATTTATGTTGATTTTTTTAATTTGACAGTGGTTTAGAACGATAAAATGAATATAGTTAACACTGTTTTGGGTAATTTGTAGTTTTTTTCAAACTATTAAAATGTATTTTAAGCTTTTTAAGACGATTGAATTATTCAAAATTAGTTTTGCTTAATTGTAACTTCATACAAATTTACTATCTTTTATATTTCACTTGAGCATCGAGTTTTCACTCGAGCAACACTTAAGTATAAGGGTTTCAATCTTGAATACAAAAAATTATCATTGATCTCTCAAATAATAAAGTTTTATATGTTTGGATATATCTTTAATTTTTGTTTTCTTAAGTTACACAATTATATATTGTTTAAATATTATTTCTCCACTCAAACGATAACATATATTGCATGTCACATATGATAATTTGAGTAGCTAATCAAAGAAAAATCTAAGAACAAGTTTTGTTTTAATTTCGATTATTATTCAAGTTTTGACAAGACATTCAAAATACAAGTTATTACTTAAGCAAAACCATACAAATTGAGCAAGGAAGTTTTAATAACATATTTTTATGTTTTAAAATAAGTCACTAAAACAACCTATCTTTACTTTTATAATCTAAGTAATTATTTAGTTCAATTCTTCAACTAATGTGATTGATTTTGATGTTGTAGTAATGAGTATGGTAATAGTTATTAATGAAACATATATTTGATATGAATTGAGTTAAGATCACAATTACTGACGAATAATTATTATATTTGGTGATACTAATTTATGAATATTTATAGTATATTTAGATATTTGTCATTTTGTTTGTGTTATGTTTAAAAACTAATAATTGTACATGGTCATTATATATAATACACATCTAAGAGATGAATCTACAAGGAACGAATAGTTGAAATGCACAGTCCAAAAAATTTACATATTTTAAATATTATTTTACAGTATATCATAACATGTACATGATAATTACAAAGCATTAGACTGTTCGAACTCTGTTATTCAAATTCAATGAAATAATAAAAAAAAGACACTAATCAACTTAACAAAATTAAAGAGTTGATTTTGTATAAATTTTACAACATATCTCCATTATATATTAACCTATAAATTCGTTTGGCTTGTTTCTATGTGCTGCAACAATAAAAGGTTTATACACTTTGGCCACACAATTCATGGAAAGAAAAGATTATTAATTATAACAACAACAAAAAAAAACGAGTAAATTTCTAATTTGTTTATTTTAATTAGCTCAGCTACTTTATCTCAAGGAAGTATATATTGGCTTAAACTATAAAAATTCTTCTAGTCTCTTTGACCCATTAAATGTGGATATTTTTATAAATATAAATTGAATATTAATTCTTGTACATGATTGATTTATAATTTTATTTTGTGCATGTTTGATTGTTGAGATTGTTGAGTTGTGTGAATTTGTGGTTACATATGAGATAGTGTGTGAAATGTTATATAGTTTAAGTATTAATTAATATCAATTTGGTAATAAACATATTTTAGTTTTATTGATAAATAACATAGACTAAAATATCAAGTTGAAAAACTAACGCCCTGTTCTTTTGAGTGGATTTGAGGGGATTTGAGAGGATTTGAAGATAAATTTTTTTATCGTTTATTTGAGTGAATTTAGAAGTAAACGAGAATGAATTTGAAAATAAATTTTTTTAATTTGTCACGTAATACAATTCTATACTAGTTCTATACGTTAAGAGAGGAGTTATTATAGACCTATATGCAACTTGAATTGTTATTATAATTTTTTTTATCTTAGATTCACTTGTAAATTTAAATTTTAGTTTTAAATAAAACTTATTTATGTCTAATTGTTAAATGTTGAATTTTAAATGAAGAAAAATTGTTATGATTTGTTTATTAATATATATATATATATATATATATATATATATATATATAAAAGTTAAAAGTTTGTTTCGATAGTTTATTTTGTATTGTATGTGTTATTTGTGTCGTGAATTATGATAACTATATTTATATATAGATAAAATAATGGAAAGTGAATAGAGTTTTGCTTTTATATAATGTGTATTTAATTTCGTTACTTTTATACTAATAAAAATTGTGAAAAAAGTATAAAAAATTAAGAAAAGGCGTAATAAAAAATATATATAATATATATAGACTTTTATGTGTTTCGGCTAGATATAAATAAAAGAAAAATAACTATTTTAATCATTTCATATTTTTAAAATCCCTTACATTGTTAATAACGCCGTCAGTGTTGAGACCCTTGAGTTGAACGTGGTAGACTGGTTACCTGCAACATACTGTTTCGGTAAGAAAGCAGTTTTACCGTTACCATCACGTTAGAAGAATAAAAAATAACCAAAACGTGTAAAGGGCAACTTTGTAATCTGACATTACAGTTATTACATCACAGGACCTCAAAGTTGATTTATTGTTTTCTCGAAGGCCAATGCTTAAAAGAAGTATCACTTTTAATATATAAATATTTTTATAGTGTGAATTTATTAGAGGTATTGTTTTAATACAGTAACTATTTAATTAATAAAGTAGTTTTTTAACACATGCTTTCATTAATATTTCAATTTTTTTTATGCTATGACTTTATTAAAAGTATTCATTTAATGTATAGATTTTTATATGGTAAATTAATTACTATTATTTATTAGAGGCGTTATTTTAAATTGTTATTTCAATTTTATGCAGAAGATTAATCAAGACACGTGACAAATGTATTTTTCCTCACTCTGTACAATAAATACCGAATAGTGTATTAGGAAATGCGAATAATAACATTTTTAATAATGGACATAACAAGTTAGAAGAACAAGTTTCTCCTTTTTATTTAGGAAAAAATCTTACATGTAACTATTTAAGTACTTTTTGTAGTGTAATTTATTAGTTAAAATTATACGTTTATGTTGACTTTTAGTACAAACTGTGGAAATAAAAATAATAATTTAACTAAAATAAACGTGAAGAAAAACTATAAAATAAAAAAGTATGTCCAGATTTTATCTTTCTTCTAAGAGAAAAAAAATATTTTAATTGATCTTACCATAGACGACTAGTTCAATATTGAAACTGTACTTTTGTATCTATAATTTCTCTTATATGTGTATTAGGCATGTGCTAAAAAACGTTGACTTTAATTTATTAAACAGTTTTATATTTCTTATACAATAAGTATTTTAAAAAAAACTCTTTTTAATAAACGTCTTTGTATATGGCAACTGAAAAAGAAATTATAGGTTTAATATTTTATTTTGTCCTAAGTTTCGTTCGAAAATGTTAAATTAGTCCATTCTTTAAAAAGTGTGTCAATTACGTTCTCACTTAATAAATTTGCATCTAATAAATTTGCATCAATGAAATCCCTTCCGTTATACATGTACAAACTGCGTTAACTATTTTTCTCTCTCTTTTACTTTTCTTCTATTTTGTTGTGCAATGGAGGTTTTTGTCAGTTTTTTTTTTCTTCTACTTTAAATGCTCTCTCCTCCCATATCACTCAAATACTCTCTCCTCCCATATCACTCAAATACTCTCTCCTCCCATATCACTCACGTAAATTTTATTAAGCGATAATTAACGCACTTTTTAAATGATGGACTAATTTAACATTTTCGAGTGAAACTTTAGACAAAATAGGATATTAAACCTAAATTATATAATAGTTTAGGAATTTCACTCTTCCATATAGTAAAGTTGGAGAAAAAAGCCTATGCACTTTTGTAATGTGATTATTTCAAAAGTCATATTAAAAGTTAATTTTAATTATTTGATAGTTTAAATATTTGTCATAAATGTGTATCTTTTTTGACTCAAATACAATTTAAAGTAATTCATTTTATCATTCACATTAAAATATATTTTTAACATCGTTGATTAGAA